GCTGATTATTTCCTTTGGAAATAGGAGAGAGACCTTAATGCCACCTTTTACCCAACACAGTTGGACAATATCATTGACTTTGTCCTTCAAGGTGAAAAAAAAGAAAGACAGCTAACACATTTCAGAAGCCCGAAAAATCCCCCTTTATCAGGGCTTTAAAACTTATCCAAATGTCAGCATACCCTGAATGCTGTTCTGCTCCTGACACAGGCACCTACTGACAGATCATTCTCCTGATTTAGAATGACTTATTCAGAAGCTTTACTCTGAGTCTAATTGGCATTTAACTGAGGTTTAAAGTCCTGATGAAGGGGGATTTATGGGCCCCTTAAAACATATTAGCTCTCTTTTGTTTTTTACCTTTTGTCACTTGCAGAATTGATAAATTACTATGTTTGTTTGGTACTTTCTGTGGTTGAAACACCACAGGAGAAGAATGGTGGGGAACTGGGGAACCTGTCATAGGAAGGCTCAAACAGCAATAAAAACCTCACAGGGGCTCTAATATTTTCTACACTATGCCAATATATATTCATTGCTTCTCCTGTCCCACTAGAGAAATGTTTTATTACTTTCTCACTTTTGTCACATGACATCAGTTTTGACAACAGACATTTTTTATGGATTTTTAATTTAACAATCCATGTTGTAGCACTATTTGTATTTTGTTAAATGGAAGTAGGAACACAAATGGAAACACAAGATAGTATGATGTATACAAACTGGCTGACCCCAAACCAAATTAGGTTGTTAGTCTTCCCACTCTATAACAGGTGATCCATAAACTCTAGCATGTTTCACTTTTTAGTCATTTTCCTTTAATATATCTGTGTATGTTGTTATTAATATAATCAAATGTAATATACATATGCATTTAAAGAGCCCTCAATATCTGTCTTAAAATGAATTACCCTGAAATAAACTGGGTACAATATTTCAGCAAATGTTGTTTGTTAATGTTGCTGTACTTTGCACCGAATTAAACTTGTTGTCTTTTGAAGTACTTCCTGAAATTAGAAGAAAGCTATTTATTTTTATACATTTCCCTTCTCACTGATTCCATTTACCTTAATACTTTCATCTGCAGCCTCCAAACTTCCAGCACCATCAAGAATCCCCTTTGTGGTAGTTTCATCCCTGCTCTATTCGATTTCCCCATTCTGAGTAAATGATTAAGTTTTCATGCATTGGTTCAACCAAAACCTATGTTCACTCAACCACATCCTTTATTGATTACTTCTACAGCAAACAGTAGGCCAAGTGTGATATACATAATTGGACAGTTGTCAGGGGATATGGGTGTTTAAAGTCCCGTTTGCCCATCTGGAAACTGGAATCACCTTGGTAGACAAATATCCCTAAGCTTTTTCGTTCTTATCCTTTAAACCACAGAGTCCTGCTCCTCAGAATATATGCTTTTAACTCTCTGAGGTCTGGTTGAATGAATTTGGTGATTATAACCCATAATATGCTCCCAAGACTGCACCTGTGCACTGCATTCAGAGAATTGGGAAAAGAGAAATTAATATTTGTCTAACATCACAGCCTTGTCCTTTATCCTCAGAAAATCCTTAGCTTTTCTTCTGTGAGATTGTGTTTGATTCGGTACTATTCATGGTGTGCCTGTTTTATTTGTACAAAGCAACACGTTAGATAGCATGTAGCTTAGATTACTATTAATGTTTGTAGTAATCATAGCACAGCATTAGTAATGTAGAGTATATTTTGTAAAGTGCCAGTATCTTATATTATGTTTAACAGTTAAAGGACCGCTATTGTGAAAACTATTGTATCCTGAGAACTGTATGCAATGAACACCTGTAATAATAGTATTTATTATATTCATTCCTTTTTCATTTTACATGCTTTTATTTATATCTCTCCATATTTACATAGCAAGCAAGCTGTCCAGCGAAAGTGACATTGTCAGAGTTTAAAACAAACTATAACACAGCCACAACATTAGAGCAACAGATTAAACTGTGTGATCATTGTAAACACTAGGGATGAGCTTTGGGTTCGGGTTGACCATCAGTTTGACCCAAATCCAAGTCATTCATGCTTCGAGAAAATGACAAACTAATGCAGCTGTTTGGGTCTATAGCAATTAATTACCAAAATTCACTTCCTGCCCTCTGAAAAGTGGTCAGGTGGCTTAGAAGCCACAGTCATAGGGGTTTTCTTATGTTCCAGTCTCTTCCCTATAAAAGTTAGAGTTCCCAGCAGCCTTTTGTAAGTGTTTGTTGAAGGAGACATGAAATAGATAGGGGCAGATCACAGAGTGTTTGCTTCTGTCTCCTTTTTGAAATGTGGCATAGTTAAAGTGCTTATAAACTGTGCATTCAGTAAGTACAATATTTTGCTGTTTTCTTGTGAAATTATACACTCTCAAAAGGAGTTTCTTGATTAAAAGCTGACTGATGTCTCCCCATTAAAACTGTGCACTAGTAAAAGTGCTTAAATAATGTGCATGGAGTCAGTACAATATTTTGCTGGCTTTCAATTCTGTGAAATAAAGCACTGTTATTTTGATTTCTTGTTTATAAACCTGGCTGGTCTCTCACTAAGAAAATGCAGCCTAGTAAAAGTGCCTACATAGTGTGCATGGTGTCTAAACAATATTTCTAGCTATTGCCACTGAAATAACACACTCTAATTTCTATTTCAAGATGCCTGGTTTTAGTGGTGGACCTAATAACCAAAGGGCTCTGGTGCAAGATTTTATCTTGGGCCCCCCTCCCAAGACGAGGGGGGGCACAGGAGCGGATCACACTGGCCCCCGGACCCCCCTCCCTCTAATGTTGCAGTAGCGTGCTGGACTCTGGACTTAACTGAGACCCTGCAGAGCACACCATGGATCCTGCATAGCCCACCTGAGACTCTCTATGGTGGGCTCTGAAGGGCTTCAGGTGGGCTGGTCGCCGGGGTCCCTTTCGCTGTACCTCCTCCCAACTCTTCTCACCTGCTGGGACCCGGCCTCCTCCACCCTCTCCCCTGTCACCTCTGCAATGCCGCCCCTGGTACAGCTGATAGCCATGTAAGGGACCCCCAAGGCTGCCCAGACCCCTCACATTGGTACTGGCCATACCCCCCCTGATGGCGGTATTGTATCAAAGTTTGTGACTACTTTAGAATGTGTGACCGGTGACGTGGTCACACATTTTAACGTAATCCCGCCCAGTTTTTTTGGTGGTGGAATATGTGACCGCCAGTAGGTGAAGCATTCCAATGCTTTGTCAGCTGTTCCAGGGCAGATCGGCATTGCAGATGGTATGTGCAGGACAACCGATCTGCCCTGGAACAGCTGTTCGGTCCTGAAATGTCACTTCTATCCGACTCTGTGACTGCAATCCCACATTCCACCCCACTCACAAAGTCGGATAGAAATTAAATTTCAGGACCGATCAGCTGTTCCAGGGCAGATCAGTTCTCCTCCACAGCTGACAAAGCGTTGAAATGCTTCACCTATTGGCGGACACACATTCCACCGCTGAAAAACTGGCTGGGATTACGTTAAAATGTGTGACCATGTGACAGGTCATTCTAACGTAGTCTCAAACTTTGATATAACAGAGGCCCTGTCTGTAATCATTTAATCAGATAAATAGATTATAATGGGGAACATTACAGTGTAATGTTCTCCATTATAATCCACTTGTCTAATTAAATGGCATAACAGCACACAACCCTCGCACCCCCCCCCTCCCCCTCCCCCTCGCCGCTCAACGCTCTGACTCACCCAGCCAGAGCCTCACAGCATCTCAGTCCTCAGACAGACGTTGTGTGCAGGGGGCGGGTCCTGTGACTCACTTCTCCTCTCCCACCGCCTGTTACTATGGGCGCGGCCGGGAGAGGAAGTGAGTCACAGGA